GTGTGTGTGGTCCACAGGGGAAGGAGGTAAAAGTAACTCCAGCTGTACTTCTGTTTCAACTCTCTAACGTCTCCAGACATTACTAGACGACTCAGAGCGATGTCAGTACTCACACACAATTGGCGCTCACACACAATTGGCGCGCACGTCCACCCACCCCCACACACACACACATACGCACAAACACACACACACTACAGAGTACACGGGTGACTCTGGGATTGCCTGTCAGGTCTGGCTGAGGGTGGGGGGTGCACAGCGTTTGTTCCACAGAACAACTCGCAGGTCCACCTCGTTAATCTCCATGACGACAGAGATGCTTATGCAGCAAACTAGTGGCGAGCGGGAAAGCATGTCACAGGGGAAGCTCATAAAAGCACATAGCCTCCAAACTACAGAGGTAGTTTAAAGTTAAACACACTCCACTTATAATCCCAAACTATTTTACATAACCTTTTAACAGCCCTTTATGATAATGAGAACAAAATGATGAAGTTTCCTCAGTACGGTGGTGCCGCTTTTATTCATTGTGCTATTTCATGCAAAAGCAGTTGGTCGGGTAACACAAAAAGGTAAAGGTGTGTGGTTATATGTCCCAATTCATTCGAAATATACATAAGAGTGCATTTTTTTATCAAGCATACCATTGTTCCTGCCAAAAAAACAGCATATTATGGTATGGATGTGGTTGTTCTTCTCTGGTCAGCTTTGATATATATCAATAAAAAAAACAAAAAAACATTTGTGTGGTCACTACCACAGGGTTTCCATATGTTTAAGTACTACACACAGAAACTACGTCAAAGTTCTCTAGCCGGAGAGCAAAAACTAATGACTGATTTCAAATTAGAGCAATTTGGTGTTAGGTCTTATATCTTTGTAAAGATGTACACAGTGTAATTGTGTGGTACATTTTTCATACCCAGTAAAATGGCGATAAAAACAATACAACATTGCTACCTGGTACACGGTTGTATTGATCTACATTATATATAAAATCAGTGTTAACTGCCACTCTTTTCAATTCCCCATGCCTGCAGCAATATCAGCAATCTGTGTGGTGTTTGTTTCATCCAAGCTATAAACACAGATGAATGGTCAGGGTTTATGTTGTGTGCCAAAAAGAACACAATTGCAGTAGTTGTGTTGTTAATCCATGAAGGAGGAGAATAGACGTTCATACACACTCACTCAAACAAACACTTAGTCTAAGACAGAGAGAGAAAGAGCTGCGCATCACTCACCGATCATGTGATTAGCGACGTGAATCTGGATCTCCCTCTCCGTCTCAAACGTCATTTGGCATTTAATACACTGGTAGGTCTTTTTCTGTAAGATAAAGACACAGATTGTTTTTTAAATTTCTTTACAAATTGAATCATATTGTAGTATTGGCAAAAATGTACATTTTAATATAACAACAAGTTCAAGAATTGAAAGAAGACAAGAATATTCTAGTGTTAGCAAGTTAAAAAGCACAAGCTCTCAACATGCAAGTTATGTGAACTCCAAAAGTCACACACACACACACACACACACACACACACACACACACACACACACACCTCTGCAGAGAAAAGTAGAAAAAGAGAGAGAAATTCGTAAGGGGGTAATTGAAGAGGGAAAAGCAATGAAACAGAGGGAACGAGCAAAGAGGATAAGAGAAGAAGAAAGAGATACAGAAGTCAGAGAAACAAGAGTGAGAGACACATGAACAAAGAGAGGGAAAGAGAGACAGAGAGAAGCAGAGGCTCTGCTTAACCATTCATAGCACACAGCGATCACTCATGCACAAACACATACAAAATACACAAAGGCCCCACTTTCACTATCTCACACACACACACACACACACACACACACACACACAAAACTTTGTCTGCTTTGTGCCGTTAGACTAAGCAGAAACAAAGGTGCAGGTAAGACAGAGGGTCCCTGGGAAATACCTCTAACACACACACACACACATATCCACACAAGACATGCTCACTTGCTAGTACACACTCTCAGACACGCGGCTGGTCCCGGGGAGCCTGACTGTCAATATCAAGTAGAACGAACAGCTCCCACAATGCCTCAGCACGCCCCACCCGCAGGACCCAGTGGGGCTCTGCTGACACACACCGACATACACACAGGGCGCACGTATGCGAGGTACAGGCGCAAAGGCAGCAGCATGCACCAAAACTTCACACACACCACTCACGCAAACATACAGTTCAGCAGGATTGTTTCAGTCTTCTGCACTCCTGGTTGGTTTCAAAGAAAAACACAGTACTGGCCGATTCATCTGCCACTGTTAATTACTGTTGAAAAGCTTAAGAGATATCAACACTAAAGGTGGAAACCTGATTCTAGTTTGCAGCATCCTTCTTGTATCAATACCTTTGTTATTTGAATTTAAAGTCACTTTATAATGTGTTTTCAGCACTATGTGTTGTAAAAGTGTTGAAACGTGTTTCTGGAGGTTTTGAGTTGAAAATTCCTCATAAGTTCAATGAAAGCGTTGATCTTTGACTTCTCCTCCTCCTGTCTCACCTTGGGTGCAGATGAGGCCTCGGCCTTCTTCCCAGCAGCGCTGGTTTCCGGGCTGACTTCGGGGTGATCCGTCTGGACGTGACTTTCCAAGTCCTCCAGACTTTCAAACTTCACCCCGCACTCCGGACACCTCAGCCCGGAGGGGGGCCTTCTCTCCCTGTGAGTCCCCCTGCGTGGCAGCGAGTCCCTGGTTGGGGCTCTGACCGTTCGTGCCCCTGATGTGATTGAACATTTGATCAGTTTTAGATGCTTTTAGTAATCAAAACTTTGGCTCTTACCCCAACCCAGGCTGAAATAATTGGAATAGAAATGACACAATTTTAAGCTTTCAAATACCCCACGTTTCTCTATGATATCACTGTCTTAAAGTGATCTTTTATGAACTAAAATATGTTCATAGTTGGTTTCCTACCTGCTCATGCAGCCAGCACAGAGGCCATAAGGCAGGCCGTTGACATCCAGCTTCACCAGCTCCCCTTTGTTCTTGAACTCCTTCAGGCAGAAGGCGCACTTGTACATCTTATGCAGCTGCAGCTGGCCATTAGGGGACGAAGAGGCTGAACCATTCCCTCCTCCGATCAATCCGTTCCCGGTTCCTCCTCCTCCTCCTACTGATCCTCCCAGTGTAGAACCAGTGGAGAGTTTCTGCATGTGGAAGGTGCCGTGGATCTTCAGCTCCAGGGTGGAGGTGACGGTCTGCATGCAGACGACGCAGCGGAAGCCGGTGAGGGAGTTGCGGAGATCAGGGTGCATCTGGCAATGCTCGATAAACTCCTCCTCGCTCTGCAGGGGCATCTTACAGATCCGACAGGTACCTGTGTCCAGGCTCTTACTGTGGGTCACCTGCAGAGAGAAAGGAGAAAGAGAATGATGCACAAAGCAGTGAGTAATAACACCTTTTATATAAGCATAGGTTGTTTTAAACTCAACTGAAGAAAAAAAGAAAGTTTGCTGTAGTTTGTTGTGTGTTGCAGCACAAATTGCCTCTCTAAGGACAATTTAACATTCCAAATTCAAAGCAGCCAAATAAGTAGTAGGATCAAAAGACAGATACACAGCAAACAATAAAGTAACACAAGAGAAAAGCAAAGGAAACTAGTGTTGTTATACCTGTGAGGGTATCTACTGACTATTTGTTCCCTACAAATAAACTCCAAATGACATCCTGAAACGTGAATACTCCAACAGACATGAACATGAAAGCAGTACCTTGTGTTCGGTGAGGGTTAGCAGAGAGGGGAAGCGCTCGCCACAGATGGGACACATGTAGTGTTTGGCGGGGCCGCGGTGCGTCTGAGCGTGCTCGCGGAGACCACTCTCAGAGAAGAACGTTCTGGAGCAGACGTTGCACTTGTGGTTCCCCTTGATGAAGTCCGCCTTCTTCTTTCGAGAAGCTGAAATAATCAACAAAGAAACATTATATATTCTGTGAGACAACCTTTGAAACAAGCTTTTATTTGGTTGAATCTTACTAGCGTCATCATCTCCCGGCCGGATGTTGTGGTCGCGCAGCCGATGGTTCTGCAGGAGCGACTCCATGGTGTAGGCCGCTCCGCAGATATCACACGCGTACATGGGCTCCGAGTTGTCCAGCTCCTCCTCTCCTCCGCTGGCCTCATGACTGTTGGCCGTGTCCCCCCCCTGGCTGGCTCCTGCGTTCTTCAGCAACATGTTCTGCAGGTCGGCTTGTTCAGCTGCCGCCACCGTTGCTCTCTCAACGCCTACCGCACCTCCATTCCCTCCACTTCCTCCTCTCTTGGAGGACTGCGCCAGCCCGTTGGGTGTCCCGTTATGACTCGCCCCGCTCCCTGTGCCCCCTCCATTGCCGGTGATGTTGCTGCTGTCGAAGATGCAGTGCTTGTCCCTCAGGTGCCTGTCCAGCAGTGACATGGCTTGGAACGCTTTGCCGCAGAAGCGACACGTGAACTTCTTGCTGTGTGTGGTGATGTGGCACTGGAGCTCCACCTCCGTTCCAAACGTCTCTCCGCAGAAGATGCATTTACGGGGCTTGAGTCCTGAGAGACAGAAGTCGGATTCAGAGTTAAAATAATTTGCAATCTTTGGTAAATAATGACTTAAGCTTTTTTTGATTACATTCTCTTCTATATAATCACCACCTGAATATGTATGCAGTTCTATCTGTACTTTTCTAATGAAACTCAGTCTATAATCCCAGGAAATATGAACAGTACCTGCTCCGAGCCCCCCTGGGAGGCCTGACCTCTGGCCCAGGTGGTTATGCTTAACATGAATCTGAAGATCCGACTCCTTCCTGAAGTCCCAGGCGCATTGCTGTTGCAGCGAAACAGCTTCTTCTCATTGCTGTGCTTCACTGCCAAATGCACCTAAATGGCAAAACGTTGAAAAAAGAAACAATCATGGTTGATTAATTTCTATTATTATAGCACACATGTTCTTCATCACAATCTAATCTAGTTAGTATTCTTGGCCAAAGTAAATTAATTCACCTGTATGGAGACTTTGGAGTCAAAGACCTCCTGGCAGAGCGTGCAGTGGTACAGGACGAATGTGTGCATGTCCAGCAGGTGTTTCTGCAGGTCATCCACGGAAGAGAACTGCTTGTCGCAGCTCTCGCACACATACTGGGTGGAGGTGGTGGTGTAGTGGACTGTCAGGTGCTGAAGCAAGGCCTCCTGGGATTCAAAGTCCTCCTTGTTGCACTGGGGACAGGACTGGCGCCGCAGCAGCATCTCCAGGTGGGACTTCAGGTGGGCCTGGAAGCCCTCGAAGCTGGAGAAGCGGAGGTCACACTGGTTGCACGGGTAGTCCCCGTTGCTCCCCATGGAGGGGGTGGAGTCCCCTCCCATTCTGTGGCGTTTTGGGGAGGAGATCTCCACGTCAGAGGAGGCCGGGCTCAGGTCTGCAACTTTTGCCTGGCGTTTGTTGTTAGCCAGCGGGATGTTCTTGTGGTTCTCCTTGATGTGCTTGGTGAGCTTGAGGAGTGAGCCGAAGATAGGAGAGTTGGTGCAGTAAGGGCACGAGTAAACCTATACGTGGACAGTAGCTCTTTACTTTTTAAAGTGTTATACTGTACATGGACAAATACTGTTATTTACTTATTGGGGAATGAAATATCAGATGGAATAGGAAAGATAATAAGACAAAAAGAGACAGAAACAAAGATAGGCCGTAATTTACTATTGCAAGTTCAGATTTAATAGAATAAGAATTAGCAGACTGGAAACCTTTGAAAGCCATGGGGTCATTTCAATCTATACATGTTGAGGTTAAAAGGGTTGGTTTTAAGTGTAATTCCTGACTGTTTCATACCTCCATGAAGGACTGCGATGCAGACTGTAGTACAGGAGACTCCAGTTTGGTCACCACTCCTCCGGACCCGGCTCCGCCCCCTGCCATGGAGCTGCAGTGCGTCTGCTGGATGTGTTCCGTCAACGAAGACTCCGTCAGGAATCCCATGGAGCACTGGTTGCAGAAGAAGGCATGGTTCCCTTCTACAATACAAGAATACATTTAAATTATAAGATGTAAGTCCCAAGCGTTTGCATTCTAGTCCAAAGTCTTGCCTCAAGTCCTAAACGTTGGGTTTCCTAAACAAACCATAATGCGCCACTTCGATGTTTTGCAGACTGCATTTTTGTCTTCATGACCACTGCATAGTTATAGTACACAAACAAACCTTTGTTTTTTTCTGTATGTAACTTTAGTTCTTCATGGTTCTGTCCTGTAACTTGATTGGCTACAGTATGATTGGTTTGTACAAAGTGGATGTGACAAATCAAGTGTGAAACTGCTGGGAATGAACAGTGGTAATGTTGTGATGAAATACTGCATTTTAGGCACACTGTTTAAAACAACATACATTTAGTTTGTTAGTTTATGGAAAGGTATCATGTTATTCTAAGGCACAAGGCTCAAGTAAAGTCATTGGTGTTAAAGCCAGACTCTAGTTGCTCATCTTTTCTAATGTTATTATAAAATGTGTGATTTGTTCAAGTCATGTGGCTTTGAGTCAACCTCTCTAATATACATTTTAGGACATTTTCAAACAATAACTGCCTTTATCAGTACGTAAAAATACAAGTACTACAAACGATGTACCAGAACAACTCATACTTTGACATCTTAAAGTAACTTTCCATTTCTTAGGAGGAGTTTCGTCCAAGACGCACCTAATGTAGTGGATCCCGCTACAATCCCGCCGGGCAGGCAGTGTGACTGTCTGATGTGCTCCTGCAGAGAATTGATGTCTCCGAACATGTCTGGGCAGTAGTTACAGTGGAACGCTGTGACGTTAGTGAACTGCAGCAGCGGAAACGCTGCTGCTGCCGCTGAGCCTAAGGTTCCCCCGCTGGAGCGGTGGGCTTTGCGCACGTGTTCGTTTAGGTTGTAGAGCGTTGGCAGAGTGTCCAGACAGAGATGACATGTATGGCTCTGCTGCGGCTTATCCGCATGGATGGTCTTCAAATGGATCTCCAACACCGCCAGGCTGTTGAAGTCTCTCTTTGAGCAGTACGGGCAAGAGTACGTCACTTTACCCCAGCCCCCTCCTCCCCCTGCGGAGAGGGAAAGATACACTGCTTCATTAGAAACACATAAAGGGAGTCTGAGCTTTTAAATATGTGGTGACTATATAGAGTGGTGCAGTGATGAAGTATTTCAGTTTGTCTCCCAAGGGCTCCCTAAACAAAAAGCTATTTTTCCATTGGAATTTGGAATATAGCAGGAAATAATATATTTGACACACGTTAATGATACTTGCACGTTTTGTTCAACAGGATAATCTGCACATATTTTCACCACTTTTATGATTTGTAAATACAGTGTAAATACGATCGCAATAAGTTAAAAGCTAACGGCTATAAAGAAACTAAATCACAGTTCCTAAAGGTGGGCTCATGATCGTGATCACGTTAGTAGTCTCACTTAGTCACTTGCTATCAACCACCATTTTTATGAAACCTGGAAGCTTCGGATATTCACAAGGTTGGAATTTAGACATATTTTATGTTGTAGAACAAAACGTGAAAATCTCTTTAGACATCTAATCAAATAAAGCGTTGAAAAAGTGTAATATATTAACTAATTTCCAGGCTTCTTCGTCTCATTCCTACACCACTCTATAATCAACAGATGTATCTGTAACCATATCTCCACCTTGATGAACCAGGCTTATTCCGATATCTTCCCCGATCGTGTCGATGCCTCTCCTGCGGCCTCGTTCGATCCCCTGGCTGGGCTTCAGGGTGGAGTCCGGCGTGGAGCCTCTCTCCAGGCTGGCACTAGAGTCCGGAGTGGCCGAGCTCATGGAGGCCACGCTGCCCAGCGCGGGGTCGGGACTGGCAGCGCTGTGAATGGAGGAGTCCGGCTGCCGATGGCTGTCTAAGTGGCAGTAGACGTCCTCCACAGACGGGAATTGTTCTGAACAGACAGGACATCTGGGGGAACAGAACAAGTCAAATGCAGGTTATATCCCAGCGTAGCACTCTATTTTCTCCCAACTTCTACAACAGCACTTAAAGGTCCCCTATTATACTGTTTTTCATCAATATATTATAGGTCTCAGATATATACAAAACATGTCTCTGAAGTGTTTGGCTCCAAACAACAATCAGATCATTGTAGCATCCCATAATCCCCTCTGTTTCAGCCCTGTTTCCAAAGTGCTGATTCTCTGTCTGTTACTTTAGATGAAAATAAGGAGCCCCTCCCCAAGCCCCTCTGAGAGATATTTGGTTAAAAAGAACACAATGGTGCTCTAGGAGGAGATTCAGGTGATACGGTGGGGGGGGTTACCTTGGTTGGTGATTGGCTAATGGTTACACAAGCCAAAAAAAATGTATGCCAAAATCGGATCAGCTCATTTTCAGACAGGTTTTTATATAAATGGATCAGGACAAAAAGTGAGGGGGTCTTTGTTTCTGAAACTTTCAGAATCTCTTTACACAGACACATGTTTATGATCTCAGTGCTGTGTTTGACACTGTTGACCACAACATATTACTAGACCGACTAGAAAACTGGGTGGGACTTTCGGAAACAGTTCTAAATTGGTTTGAATCCTACTTAAAGGACAGAAAAACTTTGTTTCTACACATCTGAGTTGACAAATATGACATGTGGGGTACCTAAAGGCTCCATCTTGGGGCCTCTTCTCTTTAACATCTACATGCTACCACTGGCTCAGATAATGAAGAACAACAAAATAAGTTACCATAGCTATGCGGATGACACACAAATTTACGTAACAATTTCACCAGGAGACTATGCTCCAATTCAAACACTGAGTAAGTGCATTGAACAAATCAATGACTGGATGTGTCAGACTTTCTCCAATTAAACAAAGATAAAACTGAGGTTAATGGTTTTTGGAGCCAAGTCAGAACGTATAAAAGTTAGCTGCTGAGCTTCAGTGCTGCAATGTTCAAAACAACAGATTAAAGCCAGAAATCTAGGTGTAGTCATGGACTCTGACCTGAGTTTCAACAGTCACATTAAAACAGTTACTAAATCAGCCTACTATCACCTAAAGAATATATCTAGGATTAAAAGACTAATGTCACAGCAGGATTTGGAAAAACTTGTCCATGCTTTTATCTTCAGTAGACTCGACTACTGCAATGGTGTCTTCACAGGTCTCACTAAAAAATCTATTAGGAAGCTGCAGCTGATTCAGAACGCCGCTGCTCGAGTCCTCACTAACACTAAGAAAGTGGATCACATCACTCCTGTTCTGAAGTCTTTACACTGGCTTCCTGTGTGTCAAAGAATAGATTTCAAAATACTGCTGCTGGTTTATAAAGCACTGAACGGTTTAGGCCCAAAATACATTTCTGACCTCCTGCTAAATGATGAACCATCCAGATCTCTCAGGTCTTCAGGGACTGGTCAGCTTTCTGTCCCCAGAGTCAGAACTAAACATGGTAAAGCAGCGTTCAGTTATTATGCTCCAAATATCTGGAACAAACTCCCAGAAACCTGCAGGTCCGCTACAACTCTTACTACTTTTAAATCCAGGCTGAAGACTTTTCTTTTTGTCGCTGCTTTTAATTGAACTATTCATATCTTAGACTGCACTGTAACTTTTATCCATGTATTTTTTCTTTTAATGTTTATTTTATTATCTTTTCTTTTTAATGACTGATTTTAAATGCCATTTTCTTAATGTCTTTCGTTTTTTGTAAAGCACTTTGAATTGCCTTGTGTTGAAAGGTGCTATATAAATAAACTTGCCTTGCCTATAAAAGACATGAAAAAGTGGATTTTGCATAATAGGTGACCTTTAACATTAAAACATATCAGCGGGTTGGAAACTTTAAAAAGCGAAACTCTGTAGTACTTGTGTTTGCGGTTGGCATGCTGTGTCTCAATATGCGTGAGGAGGGAAGCCTCGTCGAGGAAGATCTCCGGACAGTGGATGCACTGCAGGTCGGCTCGGTCGGACAGCTGGGGGTGTCTGGTCACCACGTGTTTCTCCAGCTCGTCTGTCTGGCTGAACGTCTCCTCGCAGTAGTCGCACATGTACAGGTCCTGCTCCAGGTCAGCGTCTCCTCCTGCTCCCTTCTTCCCACCGTCCCGCTCACTCCTCAGGGCAAGGTGCTCTCGGTTCTTGCGGTGAGCCTGTTGGAGTCAGAAAGAAGTCGAGATTTAAAGACTGATTTTTTTTGTTATGTTTTCGTTGATTTGTTTTAATGCATTATTTTTGGGGGGATTGAATGAGCAACAATGGGAATGCTAAGCAGTTAGATCAAGGCATTGTAACTTACAATAGTACAAATAAGTGTTTACCTGCATGTGGCTCTGCAGTGATGAGGTGGAGGAGAACCCACGCTTACACACACTGCACTTGAAAGGTTTGCTGGAGCTGGAGGAGTGAATTGAACAACATTTAAAAAACACGAGAACAAAAGTCACAAATAAGACTCAGGAAAATGTGTTGTGAATGAAAAGCAAATAAAACACTGGCTGTGAAGCGGGTACCTGTGTGTCTTCAGGTGGATTTTCAGGTGATCGGAGCGGGAGAACGCAGCCTCACACTCCTGGCAGCTGTACTTCTTATCTCCTGCATCAGTGAACAAATTGATGAGAGACAATTTATTCAGAAGAAAAAACAAGCGTTATGTTGTAGACCTCAAAGCATGGACAGTCAGAACACCTGTTGCCTCTTGTCTTATCATCTACCTGTGTGGAGCTTGACATGGCGGTCTCTGCTCCTCTTGTGTTTGAACAGGCGGCTGCAGAAGGTGCACTTGAAAGGCAGCTTGTCGCTGTGGATCTGCTCGTGGCGCTTCAGGTAGCTCAGGCGGCTGGGGAGAAGTCATTTGAAGTCATTTTCAAAGGCAGGTCATAGTAAGATCATTACCTTGATTTGGACGGCATTTTAAAGTACGAAAAAGTGGTTTGATAAAGTAAAACGTCCTCATCACAATAAATGAGTTAGTTAATACACTTCAGATAAAATCAACAAGAAGTTCATTCTTATAAACATTTTAGCAACTTCTGGTTTTTGCTGCAATTTACACACACAGTATGTCATTTTCTGACACTAGTTTGCTGTCGTGTGAAGTGGCGTGGTATCATGGGATATGCAGTCTTCACCACTATTCTTGTCATTGCAGTCATTTTCTCCTGGTGATTTGAACCACTAAAACACTGAATAATGCAGTATTCATTGAAAAATCTAGGATACTCAGATGGTGTCCGGCTAATGCTAAAACGTTTGTTTCGGGTATTTTTACAAGATAATGTAAGAACCAGACGTCCTATGACTCAAATCCTTAATCCGGTTAGACTTTAGAGTTCAAATGATGGATTAGAAGTAAATCTAAGACAGCTTCCAGGATACAACCACAAAAAATGTGCATGCGCAAAGTGGATACATCGCCATTACAGTTGAGCAAACAACAAAATTGTAACTTATACTTAAAAGATAACAATGTTTTCACAGTTACAGAGTTTGCAGTACCAAAGTTTGAGAATTACTCAAAACATTTAGGGTATTGTAAGTACACATTATACAAAATATAAACATGTGTCCTTTTTTTTATTTTAAGCTGAATCACCCTCAGAGGTATTTTACTGTTTAAGTGTCACAACACTGATTGAAAAGGTTTCTGTGGTTTTGATAATGTGTTAGGCTGCTATTAACATTTGCTTATCTTGTTTCGCTAATACATTAGGATGCAGACGTTGGATGACTAAAATCCTTCATCTGGTGAAAATATATAGTTAAAAACTACAAGGATCTAGATAATGCATAGAAAGGTTGAGGCCTTACAATAAACCAGAAGTCAATTGAGGACAGCAGACGACCACAAAATGCTGACGCATTAGCAAAGGGTATAAGTCACCATTACAGGTGACAAAATGAAACGCACCGTTTGAATACTGTTACAGATTCATACTCAACTCGACATCATGTATAACATGGATCTAGACGTTTTTTGACAATTTAATGTGGAAATGTTTCATCAAAATATTTAAACTACTTCTAATATCACTGTTTTCAGAAGGTAAAATAAGAAATAGAGAAGGGGGAACAGAGGAGGATTATGATGACTTTATGGCGTCTGTGACAGCTTTTCTTAAAGTGGGTCTTGAGTCAGTCCCTCTGGAGGTGAGTGAGAAATGTATTCACATCATTCCTTTCACCGTTTGCTTTAGTGGTCCACGTTACCATGGTAATATTGAGAACACTGTTTATTCATGTACACATTGATATTCATGCTACCAGGATGCAGCCAAATATGACAGTGTTACTGGCAGCGAGATGAAACCTGTAGCATATTGGGGGGAGGGGGTGTACCTGAAGGACTTGTCACAGAACTGGCAGGGGTACGGCAGCCCGGCCCCTCCTTCCTCCTCGCCGCCGGTGGCCATGCCGAGGTCGCAGCAGCCGTCGGGCATCTGAGAGGGCGACGCCACGTCTTTACTGGAGGGCGAGGAAGGCACCCAGGAGAGCCCCGCGGGGTCATCATCACCGTCTGAAGCAGGACAGGAAACAGACATTCATTTCAAATGCGTTTCATTCATCAAACACAAATATATACACTCGTTTTATACACAGCTGCAGGAGGAAAAAAAACAAGACAGACGGGGAAGTGGGGGTAAAACAGGGAGCATTATAATGATTAAGAAGAAGTGTTCTTGGAAGGCAGAAGGCGGTAGAAAGCAGCCGGTGGGAGCGAAAATGAGAAAGAAACACATTTCTCCTGGTTACGCACACATATACAGAAGGAAAAAAGCAGGATGGCAGAGATAAAGGGAGCGAATGAAACAGAGACGCTCTCCGGCAGCAGCAACATCTAAATAGAAAGCTACAAGAACTATGTATCCCCGACGGAGCCCGGAAATAAGGACAGAGTGTATTTTCTCTCCCTTCATCCTCCCTCTGCAGCCATCCCTCGTTCCATCCCTCACCTCCCCTCCCTCCCTCTCTCTGTCCCAGAGGACCATAGATCCGCCTCATCATATTTTCATTAGGGCCTTGGCAGATTGAAACGTCGGAAAAGCGATTAGGAGACGTGGAGAGCCGAGCGGAAAGATGGCGATATTCTCTCCCCCTTTATCTGTCGTACATAAGAGATTATGCATTGCTCTTTTCCTTTTTTCCTCTCGCACTCTTTTTCTCCCCCTCCTGTGTATTCTGGCACAGAGGCGACAAAAAGGCCAAGACTCCTTTAATAGACACTTCAGAATGGATCCGGCGCGACAAAGGAGAGGGCTGAATAATGCTTGATATTGTCCTGTTCGTCTTTGTGCGCTGTGTTTAGCATTAGCCTGAGAAATGTAAAGAAGAGGAAAAAGGAAAGGGGCTATTGTTGTTGCTTTTCTCTGATAGCTATATCAACTAGGCCAGCGTCAAATCAAAGAGAGAAAACTACAGTTATAGGACGGAAAAAGTCTGACGTGATTCGTGCCAGTATTCATCATTAGGCCGATATTTCTGCAAATCCAAACACCCCGACAAGCACAGATACACGTGCAGGAGAAGAAGAGTTTCTACGGATCATTTTAGAAGTCTTGTGTGTCTCGTGTGTGTGTGTGTGTGTGTGTGTGTGTGTGTGTGTGTGTGTGTGTGTGTGTGTGTGTGTGTGTGTGTGTGTGTGTGTGTGTGTGTTTCTGGTCTTCGGTGTATTACGTCTTGCAGAGAGGGGGTGGAAAACGGTATTGATCGCAGAGAAAATGTAGGCACTGCGATGAGCAAATAGAACTCTGCAGGGGGGGTGAAAAAAAACGTGAAATCATGACTTATACATTTGACTAGAACTTAGGCGGGAGAATAAAAAAAGGTTTAAAAAAGCATAGGTAATAAAGATATCAACGTGAAGCCAGAGAAGGATAGTGAGGGAGTCAGAGACGAGAAGAGGAAGTGCATGGAGGTGAACATAAAACACGAGAGACAATCAAAGACTACAAATTCTGTAAAAATGTAATAATTTGTAAACATCAATACAGCTCTGACATCAGTTCCAGATTATTTAATTAATTGTATATAGTATATAGTTTCTTTCTCAGATTACTTTATTTAATTTTGCTTAACTTAACTTTTTTATGTAAACATTGAGTTGTTCTGAAGAGGTCTTAAGACACCATTTTGCATTCAGGTCTCCCTATTTGCATCTTAAGAGTTCTTCAATTATATAATACTTTAACTTTGAATGCCCCCCGGAGAGATGCTGTCCCTCTTTACTCCAATCACAAACAAGCTTGGAAGTCACTTGTTGTCAGGATCATGTGGGACATTGCTTTGGGCAGATAGAGACCCCCAAGTATTCATTTCTAGTCAACCATTTTGATAATCAATTAAGGCAATAATATCTAAAACCGAAGCAGCTAAATGGAAGCCCTTTTCTACCGAGACATGTGAAAATATCTCCTGCAAAGAATATCTCAAAAAGTCGATAATTAAAGTGACATGCTGTCTTTTTTTTCAAAACTTTTGCTGACAGTTGAAATTGAGCAAAGGATGAAAAATGTAAATATGATTTGACCTGGTGCTGAGAAACACCGCTGAGATCATGTATGTATTTTATAAACAAATGATGACCACACAACTGATCCACGGGTAAATACAAGGCAGAACAGGCAGATTATATTCCTCTGTGTTGTTGACAGCAGAGAATGAAATAAATATAGCCTTTTCATGGAGCAAAACTGGTGTTAAAATACAGTTTATAAAACACCAATACAGACACCCCCCTCTGCTAACTCTACGGGGTACGTGTCATTTTGTAGTGTGAGAAGGAATGGTGATACTGTCAGTTATTCAACACTTTCTTTAGAAATATAAGAAAAAGAGACATGCCGTGAAACTAAATTGTCATTTGGAGTAACATAAAATAAGAAACAAAATGTCAAAGACACAGGGGATGAAAGTCAGTGTCTTTACAGCGTTGATCATGTGGACCATTATAGGCACATCAGTATGGGTCTGTTAGATGGTAAAGTTGGTGAGCTGGGAAACAGAGAGAGAAAGGAAGAGATTGAGGGAGAAATCACTTTTTGAGGATGGAAGGGGGGGGGGGGTTGAGGGTGGAGGGGTGCTGAGAAAGAAGGGGAGGAGAGATTAGCGTCATTAAAGAGCCCTAATCCTCCGACTAGCGTGGCTGGCGCTAAAATGGAGGATCACACGGCTTTTTAACGGCGCCTTTGTCAGTGGGCCGCGAGGGGACCTGGCAAGACAAGGCCGAACAGCAAACTGGGAGAAACTGGAGGATGTGGAGGGGGGGGAGAGAAGAGAGTGGGGGGGAGGCGGAGAAAATTTCAATGAAAAGTTAAATTAGAGAAGAATCCTCGAGAGAAGATGAGCAGGATGGACGGGGATTGGGGAGCGAAAAAGTAGTTGGGTTGAAAAAAAGAAGAGAGAAACAGGCAGGAGCAGGCGGACGCCGACACACGCTGCTCGTACCCCCGTCTCCTCCTCCTCCTCCTTTCTCTCCTTCTTCTCTGGCGAATGAAAACGAACGAGGAGCCGAGTGGAGGACCACAGGGCCCCAACCGCTCCGCTGCCGCTTTATCTCTCACACTGCAGTCCTCTGCTTTTCCCATCCATTCCCTCTACCCTTCCTCCCTCCCTCTGTCCCCAGCAGTCCCTCCACTCTTCCGTCTTCATCTCTCTTCCACCACCTCCCTCCCTTGCTCCCTCCCTGCGTCAGCTTTCATGTTGTTACTCATTATAACGCTGACATCTCTCCCTCCGTCCCTCCGTCTCTCCGACAGTCTCACCCCTACTGGTGTTGGCCTTCACCCCCGTGTCTCGGCCTGGACGGGACCGAGGGAGAGCGAGGGGGGGGAGACGTTCCAGATGGACAGACTCTAAACTCCAAAGGAGAGGGAAGGGATGGCAGTATGAAAGACAAGAAAGAAGGAGGAGGAAAAACCAGGGGTCTGTAGCGAGAAATGGAAAAAGGACAACTAAACGGACCACCTGACGCATCATGCAAACAACTCACACACTCCCTGCGTGTCTCTCTAATAGGCCAGACAGTGTGGCAGCGTGTGGAGGACACAGCCTTGGTGAAACACTCTAATGAAGAGACACACACGCTGATCAATCTTCTCTTCATGTTCCTGCCTCCCCCGTCCACTTCCCCCCCCATCTAAACTCAGTTGCTCTGTCATGACTGTCGCACAGAGGGAGGAAACATCAAAGCAGCAGCGTTTATGAGAGGGAACTGGAAACTTTAGACACTTTTATGATCTTCAGATAATTATTTCCATCAACCAAATCTAAAATAAATGTAAGAATAAATGAGTAAAAGGCGTCTTTAAAAACTCTCATACGTCTACATTTCCGCAGCTTTTGGCCATGACGTTGTAAAACTGATGGAAGTTAAGGACTTGACATGGAGGCCGCACTCGAGAACATTGGTTCAATTAGTTCGCTCTGCATTAACAGCGTCTGCTAAACGGCTGAAATGGAAATATAATCCATGTATGTCGCGCTTTCTCTCCTTCCTATCGCTTTGATGTTTGAATCAAAGGGGCTCAGCTGGTAGCAGCAAAAAGGTTTCGGCTCCCAGCGCTGCTGCTACAAGAGCTAAAACTGCCGACTGCCTGAAATGACATGTCAGAACTTACATTATAAATGAACAACACACAGTGATCTGATAAGTTAAGCATGCAATTAACTGAATATTAGGAGTCTAAATAGAGTGAAATTACTATGATTATGTATATCATTTGCTTATTATTTAAGCAGTTTTTTTTATCATTTTTAGTATTTATTTATGTATACTATATGTGTGTATTATTATTATATATTTTCTTCATCCACGTTTAAAACATTGAGCAGTGACACGAGCAGAAACACTTTTCCAATAAATATTTTTTATTAAAAGAAATAGAGTGACATGTCCTTAAGGGGACACAGATGTATTTAAAGACTTGATTTGATTGTTAAAATATTCTCATATCATTGACTTACTGTACCTTTTATGCTAAATGTATTTCAGAACAAGCAAGGAATGTTTTTATTAAATGTGTTTTATACAACAGCCAAATGTAAAACTGTAATTGTTCTGCTTTCTGACGTCTTATTCTGATTTTTGGGGTTTTCCCTTTCCTGTAGTGTGTTATATATTTTGGTGAAGGTAAATGGTCTGCAAAGGCTACAATACCGAAGTGCCCTCGAGAGGGATATTCTCTCCCATACATCCCCCCCCGCGTGAAACGCCTCCATTGGACTCCTTTGTTTACTTGTGTTACATAGTGACATCACTATGTATCACTCACGCTTCTATTAGCTAGCGCTCCAACACATGTACGTGATAGGATAGAGGCAAAACATACCCAAAAAAATTGAAAATGAACATAATAATGTCCTCTTTAAATTAAGTGTTCTGTTGTGGACCTGCTCTCTTTATAACCCTCCCATCAGCCTGTCTTTCTCTCCACTCCCCCACTTCCTGCTCCCTCCTACCCCCTTCCAACTATCTTACTCTCCTCTCCACCTTTCGGTTTGGCCATCGGCCCAGACCTG